TGGATTCTAGTGATCCTCCTGCTTCAGCCTCCCAAGTAGCTGAGACTACAGTCACGTGCCACCACGCCCAGCTAATTTTTAGTGCTGGGATTACAGGCTTGAGGCACCGCGCCCGGCCTGAATAAGTTTTTTAACTCTCACAAAATAAAATACAAAACTAGGTACTTAGTGAAAACCCTACATGATACATTACGGTAAAAAGCATTAAAAACAGCTTGCTATCTACCTTCTTCCATCCCCCAGTGCTGACCATGCTGCCTTGAACAGGATTGTGTCGTTACAGGCTTCAGTGTCATTTGAGGATGTGACTGTGGACTTCAGCAGGGAGGAGTGGCAGCACTTGGATCCTGCCCAGAGACGCCTGTACTGGGATGTGACACTAGAGAACTACAGCCACCTGCTCTCAGTGGGTAAGCACAGCCGCCCTATGCATCTGCTAGTGAGAGTATTTCCATTCTCAGCTGCTGAGTGCTGCCCGACACCTAAACTATGTGATGGTATCATCCTGGAAGTGTCTGGGATTCAGTTCCTTTTCACCTCTGTGATTATTACTCTGTTCCCAGTGAAATGTGTTTATTTTTCTGAAAAGCAAAGGGAAACTGTCAGTGAAAGGCCCCTGAAATCCAGTCAGCTGGACCCAATCATGTATCATGTCCTGTTAACAGGGTACCAAGTTCCCAAGTCAGAGGCCGCCTTCAAGTTGGAGCAAGGAGAGGGGCCATGGACGCTGGCGGGGGAAGCCCCACATCAGAGCTGTTCAGGTGAGTGGGTGTGACCCAGACAGACAGGGACATGGAAGTCAGTCTCACTTTCCCTAGGAAAACCTGATGCCTTTGAAACATTCTGAAGATAACCCATCTTGAAAGTTCTAAACTTTTGGAGTCAATTGGAGATAGTTGACAATAGCCCTCAAATACCTAAATGCCGTTTCCATGTATGATCCTTGCCACATTATTGTCTTCTTTGATTGGCCTTTTGGCAAGAGAACTATCTCTAGTCTCTGTACTCTGTACCACATACCACCCTGTCTTATCTAGTACCTTTTTGTTCTTCCTACTCTACCCCTGCCCCCCATCTTAGTCTTTTCTTGTACATCCAAGTGTTTTAAAATTTCTGTTGCCCAGGCTGGAGTGCAGTGACATGATCTCAGCTCAGTGCAACCTCCACCTCCCAGGTTCAAGTGATCCTCCCACCTCAGCCTCCCAAGTACTGGGGACTACAGGCACATGCCACCATGGCCCAGCTAATTTTTGTATTTTTAGTGGAGACGAGATTTCTCCATGTTGGCCAGGCTGGTCACCAACTCCTGACTTCAGGTGATCCACATGCCTCAGCCTCCCAAAGTGCTAGGATTACAGGCGTGAGCCACTGCACCCGACCTGTACTCTATATTCTGTTGCAATGGATTATTTGTCTGTCCTAGCACCAGGACAACAATGTCTTAAATTTCCATTTCTTTGTAAGTCTTGAGGTCTTGTAAAGCATGTCCTCCCACATTGCTTTAATTATTCAAGAGTGTCCTGGCAGGCCGGGCACAGTGACTCACGCCTGCAATCCCAGTGCTTTAGGAGGCTGAGTCAGGAGGATCACTTGAGGCCAGGAGTTCTAGACCAGACTAGGCAACCTAGGGAGACCCCCATCTCTACACAATACAAAAAAAAAAAAAAACATGAAGCAGGGTATGGTGGCGTACGCCTGTAGTTGAGGCTGCATTGGGCTGTGGTTGTGCCACTGCACCCTAGCCTGGGTGACAAAGTGAGACTGTGTCTCTGAAAACAAGATACAAAATAATTTTTTTTAAAGAAAATGTCTTGGCTATTCCTGGCCATTTGCATTTCCACAGAAATTTTAGAATTGGTTTGTCAGATTTTACAAAAATCCTGTTGTGATTTCAATTGGGATGGCATTGAATGTATTGATTTCTACTTTTTAAAGACCTTCTTTTGGGTTTTACTCTATTGTTATTTTTATAACGTCTTTATTTCAATGCTTAATGCATGGAATTTTGGACTTTATTCTTTTGTAATATAAGCACTGAAGACCCTAATTTCCACTTTAGTTACCATTTCTTAATCCAATAAATTCTTACATGTACTGATTACATTGATATTTAGTGTATCTTCTTAGACGATCAGTTATTTTGAACTGTATTTTTAAACTTTAAAATGATGATTTCTGAAAAGTTTCATCTTATTACTGATTTCTGACTTTAAAATGATGATTTCTGAAAAGTTTCATCTTATTACTGATTTCTGACTTAAATACACTTGGTTTAGAGATGGTCTGTAAGAGATGGTTTTTGTATCTTCTCTATCTGTGTGCCCTTCCTGGGCCATCTCATCTGTTTCCCAGCTCTATATGAGAACTCCCAGATCTTACCTCTATTCTAGCCCAACATCCTATTGTATAACTCCCTGCATGTTTTATTTCAACATGGACAAAATGTAACATTATGTTTCATTCTTTGTTTCACCTTTATTTCAACATGGACAAAATGTAACATTATGTTTCATTCTCTTCCCCACTCCCTTCCTAATCTACTAGCCCCTCTCAGTATGTAACACCACCCTCTGCATGGTTGTACAAAACCAATAACTGAGAATTGCCCTAGAATTCTTTCTTTTTCTCACTCCCATAATTCAGCCTCTTTAAAACACAGTATCAACACCTTCTTTTTGTTTGTTTATTTGTTTGTTTGTTTTTGAGATGGAGTCTCACTCTGTCACCCAGGCTAGAGTACAGTGGCATGATCTCAGCTCACTGCAACCTCTGCCTCCTGAGTTCAAGTGATTCTCCTGCCTCAGCCTCCTGAGTAGCTGGGATTACAGACACCCACCATGCCTGGCTAACTTTTGTATTTTTGGTAGAGACGGGGGTTCTGCCATGTTGGCGAGGCTGGTCTCCAACTCCTGACCTCAGGTGATCTGCCTGCCTCAGCCTCCCAAAGTGCTAGGATTACAGGCATGAACCACCACGCCCGCCAACACCTTCTTTTACTTGCCCATGACAACTACTGCCTTAAGTCCAGATTGTCTTATTCTTTCACATAAACTCTGTAGTGCATCTCCAGATCGATCTGGACTCACCCATTTCAAACATTCCTCGTGATCTATCCTTTTTTTTTTTTTTTTTTTTTAGATTCCCTTGTATTTTTTTTTTTTTTTTTTTTTTTTTTTTTTTTTTAAGAAGGAGTCTCACTCTGTGTCACCCAGGCTGAAGTGCAGTGGTACAAACTCGGCTCACTGCAACCTCTGCCTCCGGGTTCAAGCAATTCTCCTGTCTCAGCCTCTCAAGTAGCTGGGATTACAGGTGTGTGCCACCACGACCAGCTAACTTTTGTATTTTTAGTAGAGACGGGGCTTCACCATATTGGTCATGCTGGTCTCGAACTCCTGACCTCAGGTGATCCACCCGCCTCGGCCTCCCAAAGTGCTGAAATTACAGGAGTGAGCCACCGTGCCCAGCGTGATGCATGTTGAATACTGTTTGAAATCACACAATTACGATCATGTCTTTTCCTGCATATAAATTGCAGTCCATTCTCTATTAGAAAAAAAGACTTGTTCCTTGTTCTGATGCTAGTATATCTCTACTGGATTTTCCTCATAGTCACCTTAATATACTACACAGACTCCTTTCCTTTATATGGAACTACTTGCAGTTCTCAGAATCCACCATGTATTTTTCTATTTCCCTTTCTCCATACTTTTGCTCATGCTTCTCCCTTCTAGATAACTCTCGCCCCACTGTCTCTATGAAGTCTAACCTTATACCTCCTATACTTTTCTTCCAAATTCCTAAAGCTCCCTTTGTGTCTTCTTCTGTTGGTTATCCAAGTCTTTAAGTTGCTTTATATTTTACTCAACTCTTTATCACCATTGCCTAGCACATCATCTGACACATAATCGGCCAGTATCTTGTTTTTAAGTTAGCTAGAGGACTTAAAGAGAGCTCATTTAAAATCCTCATTTTGAAAAGAGAAGAGAGTGCAATGAATAAACTAATGATGTAGTACACAACAATGTCAAGATACTTGAATAAGTTTTTTTGTTTGTTTGTTTGTTGTTTTTTGAGATGGAGTCTTGCTCTGTCGCCCAGGCTGGGAAGTCTGCAGTGGCCAGATCTCAGCTCACTGCAAGCTCCGCCTCCGGCGGGGTTTACGCCATTCTCCTGCCTCAGCCTCCAGGAGAGTAGCGGGGACTACAGGCGCCGCCGCCACCTGC